TCAGAAATTGGCAAATCAGTTTGATGAGGTTATGAGATTAAGATCGAGGTAAAGGCGTGAGTTTGTCATCCTTTCTCCACCTCCCTCTTCCACTTCTTATCTTGTGTATTATTGGAGTCATCACCAGGCTGAAGCCACCCGTAACAGCTGATCGGCCATCAGATAAAAGAAGAAACGTACTTTTCCGGCATTAGGAGAAACCGATTAGCAATTGCAACAGTTTGCGAGTCTGGGATGTTTTAAGGTGCCTTCTGGCTCCTGTTGCGTTCAAGTACTGATGTTACCTGTGCTGACACACCACGAGGACAATGTCAGTGTCTGCACGGCACACATACTGATCAACTACAGTTAACATCAGCTGACACTGAAATATGTTCCCACATACAGAAAGTCTCTCACATTAGTGTGTAGTACCACTGAGGTGCCTTTGAGCAAGGCACTGAGCTCCCAGCTGTCTATCCTGGTAAACAATCTTCAAACACGCAGCAACTTCCACCAAGATCACAGGAAGATGAGAACATGAGTATTACCATGGAAACCAACCACAAAACCCACACAGACCCACCAGACCGGTTCTGACACACACACACACACACACAACACACACACACACATACACACACACACACACAGAGAGTACCCTGCGGGTGTTATGATGGGCTGAGAGGAGAAAACAATTAAGTGTTTTTACATGCTGACAAGACTTGTCAACGCAAAGAACAGTATGTGTGTATGGGTGTGTGTGTAGTTACAGACTAGAAGTAACTAGTGGTCTTCAGTCAACTGTTGCATTTAACTCTTGTCTAAAATGGAAGTATATTGACAGTAAAATATTTCAGAGAGCACCAAAAATATTTGAAAAGCGTCAACCTTACAGAGCACAGTTTGACTTGGAAGTGAAAGGTGATGTTGTTAGACCTTTTCTTCTTTTTAACCACCAAATGGAGACGAAGAGCAGTGGTAAGTGTCTGTATTATCTTAAAAATCAAAGTGCGTCGACACAAAGTGACAAAATTACATTCAATTTGTTGGAAAACGATTTAGTCTTACTAAGTACTTTGGAGAGTCAAATTAATTTAAAAGTAGTTACTAGCTAAATATGATGGATCAAACTTAATGCAATTACCAAAATTAAAAACGATAAGTCACATAGGTATAAAATATGTAAATCAAATTTTTTTCCTTGTGCGGATTTTAACTTTAAAGTCAAAACCCTGACGTCCGGATGTGGGCGTGTTCCTTTGCAGCTTGCTAGTCAAAAATGGGTTGACAAGCGACCTTTTGCGATCTCAAGTGTTCAGACGTTTCCAAGACAGCTGGAGAAATAGTAAAGATGAAGACTCAGAAACAAACACACACCGCACACTGAAATACAATGCGTGAATGTGTGCTTAGTGTTGACTTGCAGACTGAGAAGCACTCAGAATTAGTTTTGCTCTCTCAAATCTTTTGTCATCAATATATACTTCCATAGAGGAGACAGCTGTCAAAACACGCAACACAGGTGCGCGCGCACACACACACACACACACACACACACACACACACACACACACACACACACACACAATAGTGGAATGTGCTCGGTCAACATGCAGTCTGCAGAGGCCGTATTAGCTTTACACTGAGCTAACAGCTAACAGATGGCAGCAGTCTTGTGTCCGCTGCAGAGCTAAGCAAGGTTAAACCAGACAATGGCCAAATGGGGCTACATTAGGCCAGGACCAAGCAGAGCTGAACCAGAAGAATCATATACAGCTCCTGTTTAACACTTGACTTAGGCTGAACTGTGTGGGACCCATGATATCAAAGAGTCAAGACAAGACACAAGGACGCAGGTCAGGCAGGGTCCAGTTGTATTCACTCTGTAGAGTTTTTCTACCTGACCTACATCAAACAGAGACATGTGTCTACATGGATTGCTGGAAATGGTGCCAAAAATGGTGCTAAAAGTTAACAGATTGATCTGCAGATTATTTGTGCAATTATTCAACTAATTGAATTTCACATAACCCGAGCTGAAATCTTCAAATGTCTTGTTTTGTCCAACCAACAGCCCAAATCTGACAGACATTTACAATGACTATGCTTGATAAATGACATGTTTAATGAAATAATAATTTTCTGTTGTCTAACTGATTAACTCACTAACACTGTCAGCACTACTAGAATCCCTGCAGCAGCCAACACTTATCAACAGCTGTGTTATATCTGACCTTTGTATCTTTATTGAATGTCACTTGTGACAGTGGGGCTTTAGAAATACCCTCTACAGATTTGATTCTGAAGGCTTGATCAATTTTCTGTTGACCTACAAAAAGGTTTTTTGACAATTCGTTTTAGAGCTACGTGGCATAAAGGAGAAAATGGTGATATCTCCTCGCCTACACGCAACTGGGAGCAATTGGGGGTTCAGTTCTTTCTCAAAAACACTCTGAACCACCAATACAACAAAAAGTGGATGACATGCTCCATCACCTGAGTGACAGCATGTTAAATCATACTTTCAGCTACATCTCTAAGCAAAGCAGGTCGGCTTGACAAAATAAAATGTTTCACCACCATAAACAGCTGTCAAAACTCTTCTTGCATCCCTTTGAGCAGAAAAGCCTTTATCCATTTCCTCTCCTTCCACACAGCTAACGGCCGATAAACTCTAAGGCAGTGCAGACACAGACAGCAGGCTTGTATGTGGCTGTACTACATTGGGTTCATGTCTTTGTTGGTGAATATAGTCATATATTTTAGGGTGCAGTTTAACAGCCCAGCCCACTGAGGACCCTCAGTGGACCCTCAGTGCTACACAGACACAAAGAGTAAGCAGACTGTGAACTTTCTGCTTCTGAAACAGCAATAAAACCTTCCTGACGATGACTTCTACAGGGTTTGGTAGATTTTAGCAAGCGTGACCTGCTGCCATTCACACAAACAGAAAGTACATATTATACAGGTATGAAAAACTGTCCGTGCATGTTTAACAGAAAGATAAACACATGCTGTAAGCGCTGACTGCTCTGTGTGTGGCTGTCCATTGGCGAAACTTTCTCCTCCTGCTGCTGAACTATACTGTATGTCTTGTGACATGAGATGCATGATGATACCTTATGATGTCCGAGATGTTCAGGCTTTATTCATGCTTCAGGTGATGTCATGTGCTGTAGAATGTGATCTGAAGCCGCCTGAAGCTGCTTATTTGCCATTAACCTCTGTATTTAAAGGACTGTACTGTTATTTATCTGCAGTCTGCTCCGTCTGTGCCATTACAGGCTGGTTTGTGTTTGTGGAGCTGTCAACCTGCACAGCCCCAAAACAGCTAAATCTGACCTATTTATGCTTTGTTTCTGCCTCCCTTTTGATAAACAAACATGAACACTGAGACATGACAGAGCACGTCTGCAGAGGCTTCCGTGGAGGGGAGCGGCCATGATTCACCTCCTACACACACACACGCACACACACGCACACACGTTACTGGATTTCCTTTAAATACCAACTGACTTCTGTGTTACATAATCATACCAGCAGCTGACTGCCTTAACAAAGCTCCAACACACAGGGACTGCAGCTCTGAATACACTGGTAGTCCCTGTCCATGTATTTATACAGCCCATAGTCTCCATCTGTACCTTATTCACAGGAGAGAAGATGTTAATGTATGAAGTAGGCCTACTATTACTGTTTTGGTAAAGAGAAATACACAAATATAGCCGAGTTCAAATAAAAAGGGGAATCTTAATGCTAATACAATGAGCAGGCCCCTTTCCTGTTTCAACATGACAGATCCATTAAGAAATAGCTTTGGCAGTTTAGTGTGGAAGAACTTGACTGGCCTCCACAGAGTCCTGACCTCAACCCCATCCAACGCATTTGGGATGAACTGGAACTCTAAGGGCCAAACCTTATCACCCAAAATCAGTGTTGGACCTGAATAAAGCTCTTCCCTGCAGCCAGGTTCCAACATCTGCAGGAGGAGCTTCCCAGAAGAGTGGGGGCTTTTGTGGCAGATAACAGATTAAAGGGGAACTGCACCGATTTGACACATCGAAGTATGTTTATAGGTCTCGAAGAGTACTACTGCATATGTGCTACATTAGCAGCTATTAGCATAACATATCTGAATCTCTTTAAGTGTCCATGCTTTTGGAATTCCATGTTCAGCTCTCAGCTCATTTGGGTGTAATGTTTGTCATGAAATGTACCTCTATACTTACTGACTATACAAACTGATGTGGTGAAACTGTGGTGTCTAATTCTGAAAACAAAGTTCCCATAATGTTAGAGTACAGAACCCCCCTGCACTATGAAGTGTGTATGTGTGAATGTGTGTAACCTAATCCAGGGTAAAACAAGACAGCTGCACATGAGGTCTCACTGCGTCACTTCAAAAAGAGAGAGAGCGAGACAGACAGAGAGACATATAGAGAGTGAGCAAGAGAGAGAGAGAGAGAACAGACCAAAGAAATGACCCAAAAACAGGAAAGAAAAGAGAAAGGGAGATGTACCAAAAACTGGTTGGCCCATTTCATCACACAGTAGCCCAAACCTTAATGGTTTCTACATTATACTAGACACACACACAACACACACACAGAGAGCCTGGTCCACAGAGAGTGAATGGAGTTAATTAGTTCCCTCATGATCTCACTAACTATTTATAATAAAAAAGAGAGACACAGTGAAAGATCACACTGCAAGAAGGAAGGAACAGACAGATCAACAGGAAAAACATTTCCCTTGGCTCTCTTACATGATCTCTCACACACACACACACACACACACACACACACACACACACACACACACACACACACACACACACACACACACACACACACACACACACACACACACACACACACACACACACACACACACACACACACACACACACACACACACACACACACACACACGATGATCTCAGAATGATGTGTCTGGCCCACAGCCGAGAACACAATCAAACTGGATGTGTAACATTGTGTTTCGGTGAGTGAGCTTACCTCTGGTCCCAGTCGCCATGTCTGCCACCTTCTGAAAAGCATCCAGGAAGGCTCCAGTCACCACGATGGTCGTCCTAAGGCAAAGAAAAAAACATGGCATATATATTAACTGAAGCCATCAAATACAGTCAAAACATAATCTCTCTCTCTGTCTCCGTCTTTGCATGATGGGCAGAACGGTGGCCACGCTCAAACTCACTGACAGAACAAGAAGCTGCCAACACAAACAAATTAGACATGACCAGGAGAACACAAACCACAAATGAGTTTACACTTCAGGCATGTTGATCAGTGGTTCCCAGTCCAAAGGCCACAGACTGATACCAGGCCATTGAGCATTTGCTACCTAACCGTGATGATTGATGCACCAAAAAAAATTTTAATTATGTTACTACATACGCTTTCAGGCTTCCTAACTTTATCTTCCAATGTACTAACGTATGGGTTGCGGAGAGAAATTGTGCTGGGCAATCTGGTGCACGATTGCCACCATGCAAATGTGTCATGTGAACCGGCCATCAGCCACTTCAAAAGCCTGTTGTCAATACGCAACAGTCTGTGGTGCAAGAAAGATCAGGTGTTGATAATGATTATTGCGATGGTATATTTTGGCTAAAGCAGCTGTTAAACATACAACATTAGTTTACACTTATTTTTATTTACAGTTATATAAAAAACAAAGCGAGTTTCTACTTGTAACAAACTGCCATTTATTGAAAATCAAACACAAATAACCAATAATTTCTTTCCCACTACTACTGTTCCAAGTTGAGGTACCTCCTGACTGGTGGTTAACAAACATTACTGAAAATGTTCACCGGCGGGAAACCGGTGAGGGATTGTGTGAGGGGATCTGACTGTTCTCAGGTGTCTTTCATATTAGGTTACTGGCTTTGGAAAATGACTTAATGCATGTTGGCTTCAAGTAGGAGCTCCATGGTCCAATGAAGACCTATAGTGACAAAAAGTGCAATGCAGAAGCAACAGGAAATTCCAAATCAGGAGATAACAGGGTGCCAATACAAAAAGTAGTGTCAATCTAACTGTAATGATACCCATCCCTATTCCTGAGTGGTATGAACAGCAGAGGAATACCAACAGCCACACTGGTTATAACTGAAATAACATTAACTGAATCAGACTCGCCAACTTCACTCCCGCAGGATGGATGGCAGGTTATCATATGAGCCATGTGACTTCTGCTTGCTCATAACTGGGCAGCTTGAAATAAAACAAACAAACAAAAAAAATCTTCTCTGGTTTAGATCAAAGAAACACTCTGCTGCAGAAGACACATCATAAACAAACTCTGTATTTAAAAAGGAAAAATAAAGGACTTTTATTTTGGAAGGAGGGTTGGTTTAGCCACATGAGAAGCCGGTCGCCCTCAAAGGCCAGTGTTAGGAGTGCAACTGGAGACCTTCTGACACACACACACACATCATTATCATCAATGGACCTTTTGTCTGTGTGTGTGTGTGTGTGTGTGTGTGTGTGTGTGTGTGTGTGTGTGTGTGTGTGTGTTCCATTACCAGTCAGGTTTTCGGGGGTAATGACTGTGTGTGTGTGTGTATGTGTGTGTGTGTGTGTGTGTGTGTGCACAGCTATAGAAACATAGACCTAACTAAAAAGATCAGATGACACTGCTGTCAATAGTTTGTGTGTGTGAGTCTGCCTGACCTCAGTGGAAATTCTTTCATATTAACACACAGACACACACACACACACACACACAATTCAAAGAACAACAATTTCCTCATCTGACTGTCATAACTAACAAGTGAAATAATCAATAACTTCCTTTGATGTGAGCCAACTGTGGCAACAACAGAACCCAATAAGAATGATAAAAAGTACAGGACACTAAAACACTTAATATCTGGGTTAAAAACTAACATGAAGTCCCAGTACAGGCAATATAAAATCAAAACACACACTTCATGTGTGCATAGACATGTTTGATCTGCCGTCCCATGATTCCCAGCTGCCTGAACACTCTGGTGGTGCTGCGGGAAAACTCAGTCCCACATTCCTCAACAAGACACTAGAAACCCCACTGGAGTCCAACAGAAGCTCTGAGTTGTCTTTGTTCAGCTGGTACACACACTGGTTAGAGTGGGGCTTCACATCAGACTGCACAACTCTTCTAATCATTCCCATTCCTATTAAAAAAGATACTTAATAATTCAGCTGTTCAATAAGTCAACTTTGGAAGATCCAAAATAAAAACAGTCTCATTTAATGCCTTTAAAAGTAAAAGCATCTTTAGCTTGAGGCAGTGTCCCAGACTTTAGAGAAGCAGTGATACCGTAATTATTCGTGTGTACAGATGGCGATTCCTTATATTAATGATGGTTAAATCAAGTATTCAAGTTTTAATTTCATTGCGTAAATGAAACAGCGTTATGTCGAATCAAGCATTTTTTAAGGATTGTATTCAAATTTAAGTATTTTCCTAACCTTGAAAACAAAGCGGTTAAAATTAAACATTTTCCAGACTTTGCACAAACCCCTAATGATTATTTCACAATGCAACTTTTCATCAAAAATCACTAAGCACAAACAGGGCAGAGCCAATTATCCGACTGCCTGAACGTGCCAACATATTATCTATTGTTCTGAACAGTCTGTGTCTCAATGCGCAACTACAGTCCAAAGAACTGAAGCTTTATTTGTTCTAGTGTTTATGGAAGGAAATTTATTTTCATCGATAGTTAAACCTACGAACAGTCACTCATATTTTCATATATATTCTCATGATTTAATACAGACCACGTCCACAACATTTGTGTCGTGTCCTGCAAGATCCAAATCCCACAACAACCCTCTATGGGACTCTGCTCCATCTTTTAGGCCACAGTTATGTCATTTTCAACACATCTACTGTGTCAGACGTGTTTCTGTCTGAAGCCTTTACATTTGTCATGTGAATCATGTGACGTCCTGTCAGCTGAGCACAAAAGCTCTTTGACAATGAACTAATTAAACGTTTCCTGAACAAACTCTGTTAAGACTTCATTAAGACCTCTGTAATATCCTCTTGTGAAGGGTTCAATAAGGCTGGGAGGTATGGAATAAAGACTTGAAAATCACACATATTATAAAATATTAACTTCTTAAAAAAAAATAAAAGATGAAAATAAATGTTTTTGTTTCCTATTTGAAAGGGCATTTGATTTTTATGGTGGTTGTACTGTGGAGTCTGGATTGAAGCTTCGTTATTAAAATTATCCACAGCAAATCTTTTGAGTAGCATTAAACATTAGAGTGGTTTGAAGAGCATGGATGTCCTATTTGTGCCTGCATCTGTGTGTGTGTGTGTGTGTGTGTGTGTGTGTGTGTGTGTGTGTGTGTGTGTGTGTGTGTGTGTGTGTGTGTGTGTGTGTGTGTGTGTGTGTGTGTGTAGCTGGCTGACTTGCAGGGCTAATGGACTGTGACTGGCTGCAGCAGGCAGAGTGATGCTTATCAAAGTAAACTGGCCTACTGGGAAGCACAGCCATTATGCTGTTATTACACTGAGCCAGCTACTGGGTCATTGTGTGTGTGACAGAGAGTCAGAGTCAAAACACATGCAGTATTCATGTGAGGTACAGTATATGACAATAACAAGAATATGTTTAGCAGCCACATTTTGCAAAGGGTCAACAAAATAAATATTATAAAAACTTCTATTTAAAACTTCCAGTAACTTGCCTGAGTTGTGCTACCAAAGACAAACTCACCATTATGAAGTTATTTAAACACAAAATGTTGCTTAAAGGAGCAGTGTGTAGGATTTAGTGGCATCTAGCCGTGAAGTTGCTGATTGCAACAAACTGAATACCACTCACTTTCCAAGGGTGTAAGAAAAACAACCTGCGAAATTTGCAAAAGGCCCTATCTGGAGCCAGTGTTTGTCTGTTCAGTGCATCAGCGTAACCCCCGAGACCCCAGGAGCTCTGCAAGCTACTGCCATTTGTCTACTAGTCCCTGTCCTGCTTGGTTCACATTGCTGCCGGTATAAATGTGACATATTCCCAGGTGAGTGTTTTGCATTTTTACAACGATTGACTTCCTACACCGCAGTTTATAGCCACACAGGAAAGATGGACTGCAGTGTGGATTTTATTACTGAACTATGATCAGGATGCATTCTTTGTATTTCTTTGACTCATTCACTGAATCACTGATGATGACCAAAGGAACTAAAACACGAGTCTTACATGTAAAAGACTTTACATGTAGTTTATTATAGGAGTTTAGTCTAGGGCGGCTGCTCTCCAGGTGATAATACATCACTTATAATGTCAAGCAGAGCGTACTTGGAAATATTATGATTTGGTTACAGCCCTAGAAGCCAGTGGTTGTATGACATGCAGGCCGATGGGGTCAGATAGGAAAATAAATATTACATGCCGAGTTAAAATGTGTATGCGTGTGTGTGTGTGTTGTGTTTTACCTGAGCTGTGATTGTAGCTTGGCTCCTTTGGTTACAAAGTCCTCCCATGTAGGATAACTGGCCTGCAGCAAATACAGAGAACATAAATTACATTAAACCTCCGACAGCATCGCACAACAAATCTGACGACAAAAGGATTCACTGAGTTTAGCCGAGACATTAAACACAAAGCTTTAACATTTAAGAGCTTATGACCTTAATGAGGGAGACAGCTATTATTAAAGTCTTAGTATTAAAGCTGTCAGGTATTCCTCTGCACTGGACTGGAATGAGTGGTTACAAAACAAAACAAATACTTCAATGTAATCTTATTTTACTCTGGTACACTCAAAATAAACACTTGATGAAAAGGGAGATGAGATTAAAAATGAGATATAATTGATTTGTTTCAAAATGACATCTTAATGTGTATTTGCTGTATTCTCATTACACACAGAGGCGACGCGTATGAACTCGGCAGCAATAAAAATTCACCAATTTGTACGCGGAGTGGCCGAGAGAATAAGAATTATAAATAATATCTCATTGCCAGGATTAATGGACTGAACTGAAATGATTGAGAGAATGGATCTAAATGTAAATCAGAATGGCAAAAAGAGAGAAAACAATGGGGTATCAAGACAGAACAGGGGGGCAGCGGGAAGTATGCAAAATGAAAAGAGACAGCAAGGTAGAATGACAAGAAAAACAAGGAAAGAAAAACAAACACATGAAGAATGATGATGAAAAATGAATGAAGGATCGAGACAGGAAACAGGAGTCTACAGTATATTGAGTTTAATGATGCTGTTAATTCAGGTGGTGCTGAGAAATCAGTTCAGGAGAGATTAGGCTCTGGGGTGAAAGGTCAGCATTACTGGCCGCCCGCTGGTCAACAGAGATATTGTTGTCAACTAGTTTTCTGTCGACAGATTGATGGAGTAATAGTTGCAGATCTGTCTCTGAGTTATTCTGAACAACAACAGCAGCTCTGAACGGTGTAAAACCATCAACAGCTGACTGACTCGTGTTATTTTTGGCTCTTCTCTGGGTTTCACATGAGGCTGGGGCTCTCAGGCCGACCATAAACATATAGAAACAAGCATGAGGAAGCAAACCAATGCTGCCGTCATGCAGCTGTGATTGATTCTCTGTGAAACTGCAGCTTTTCCTCTGAGCACATCTCAGCATCTAATATCACCACTGAGCCACAGATCCTGTTCAAACCCCGAGTAGCACAGATTTAATTGTTTCACACAACTTTTTTTTAATGCACATTTTCAATTTAGACCTAAAGGAAATTTAAAAAGCCAAAAGAATTTAAAAAATCTATAAAACAAAGCTGCAAATCTACACAATCGAAGAGATGAAACTACGTAATGTTAAAGCAGTTGTGCTTTCAAAATGACATAAATTATGTGATAATATAAAAAATAGTTGCTGATTCATTTCATGTAATTTGACTAATCAATAATTGACTAGTTTGTTTTCACTCAAGTGTAAATAGGATTAAAGAATATCTGCACTCTTCGCTAATATCACCAAAACAGCACAACATGACTGAGAGGGTTTCAAAAGCTCAAAAAGGGGGAAAAAAGTTTTATTTCTCTCTGTGCAGAGATAAAAAATATCCTCCAGGTTTGTGTTTAACACTTCCTTTAGGGGGTAAAAACTGTTTCTATGTCCGCATTTTGTAACAGCAGCTGATTGATTATGTAATCCAAGGCTGGTTCATGCTGCAGGCTCTGACCTTGGGTTACATCTGTGACCAACAGCTGCTGGTGTGGTGTTCTGGTTATTCAATTAAAAATGCAGGAAAGCCCTGTTGGGACGGAGGGCTGAATCCCACTTTCTCTCTCTCTTTATTTTTCCAAACCCAGTCACCCTGTCTGTCCTCTGTTTCTGCTGGTCCACCAGACAGGGGATAATACCGATTTAACCCCTAACACCACGCCATTAGCCTCTTAGCTCCACACTGCTAAAGCCGTTAGCCGGCCCCCGCTTCGCAGCTAGCCAGGCATGCACACGGCATAGGGCCTGACAGGTTTACTAGCTGCAGGGACTTAACACAGCATAATGAAATACTGCAGGTGACCGGCTGAATGCCTCTCGTGGACAACTAATTGTGAACCTGGGATAAATGGAAGAGGAAGGAAATGAATAGAAATAGATTGCACTCCAAAAACCTTATTGATTCCTGCGGGGACAAAATAAGTTGTGGCTGGAACAAAATTTATACTGGGGTTTAGAGGAAAAAAGAACATAACGCTGACAAATAAAATTTATGATGCACATTTAAGGTAAACTGGACTTAGAATTTTACAGCATTTGTGAGGAAAGCAATGTTTTTGGAGCCAAAATCATTTGTTGTTATTGAATTACTGATACTGAGTGGATGGTTGTAAATTTCAGGCAGTATGTCATTTCTAGATATGATAATATAGTGTTCTGAATTGAAGGCATTCAGAATATACTGTAATCTTTCCAAAACCTCATCTCATGCAAGGGGTTTTCACCATATTAATCTTTCAGAAAATCCATGCATGGAAAATTGTCTCATGCATAAATCTGCCTGGAATCAAATCTCTTGTACCTCGTGTTCTCCGACTGGCAATTTATTACATGTCTGTACATTTTTGTCTGCTGAGTCTTTCACAAGGTGTAATGGTATGCGTGTTTCGCCCTGTACTCCAATGCAACCTATAATCAAACGCTTACCATCAAATTAGCCCTAATACACTTAGGTGTTGTCTGTTTGCAAAAACAGCGAGAAGTGGCAGAGTCCGCCATGTCCTTCAGATCCATCGTTTGGAAGTGTTATGATTTCCTGACAGTGACAATGGACAAACTGGCATATTGGCAGTTTCTTATTTTTTCATTTTAAGTGCCTTGATTTTTAAAGAAAGAATAATGGCCAATTATATAAATTAAATGCTGACATAGTTAGCATTTTTTTTTATATTTTGTATTCCCTGTTGTTCAGAGAACATACCAAACCTTGACCCTAAAACTGAGGAACATACCAAACACCTATTACAGTACTACCCCTACTGTTCACTTGATTATCATCACAGCACTGTAGCTCTGACGCTTGACTTCCTTCATGTAGAGTTGGTTATCTAAGAAATTAAGTTTATTCTACTTGAGCAGTCACTGAAGGTCACTCTGGACAACAGTATTAAGCTACAAACTAAGAGCGTACACTAGAAAATCTCTGCTGCTTGTATTTCAGTCTGTGCAGCTCTTGTTCCCTCGCCATTTCTCGCCTAAACCTTAAATTCTGTCAGGATTTGTTGTGACTGCCAGGAATGTCACAGTCAGTCGCAGACAAAATATTCCAGCAGTGGTTTTGCAGCAGGCAGGGCTGAAAACACCAGACGGACAGAGTATCAGAGTCCACTGAAGCTTGATACTGTGAGCTTTAGAGCAGTGGTTGCTAAATTAGGGTCCTGGGACCCCAAGGGTCACTGATGGTGTCTACAGGGTTCCCAGAGACAGCTGCCAACAAAACAGCTGTGTACTCTCACAAGAGGAAGAAAAAGTAACTAAAGTTATGAGTGAACAACATAATGAATGAGATGTAAGTCTGAGCAAACCACTGGGGTGATTGAGGTTTGATTCAACTGACAAAAAGCGAGTCGATTTGGGTTCTTTCTGAGTCAAAAGTAGTGTTTGAAAAGAAGCTGAATTCAAATTTGAGCATTTCAGCTAATCACATGTATTGATACGTGTTTGTCGACTCGATCGGTAACAAGATATTTTTATTGTAAGCAGTATATCTATCATATCGTGAGTCCAGAAGAGGTTTATTTTTTAAAAGTAAAATGTCCCACTCAGTACTGATCTTGGTCACAATTCTCTAAAATATATTATTTATGGTATGTATTCAAAGCCAGTGAATCAGAGAAATAAAAAATTAGTCAATAATCCATTAGCCGCATTCTGACCAAACGTTTGCTACCAAAAAAATACTTTTAAATACTTTTTAATATTTTTAATACTTTTACATAGCCCTACACAATAACTTATAGAGGATTAATTGATGACAAATTTGATAAATTGAAGAATAATTTAAGTTTTAGGAAGAATATCTATCAAATAAATCCACAGGTTTTCAAAAGTAAACACTGGTATTTGGTATTGGCCTAAAACTCTATTCAGATGAGTGGAAATGGTCTCCATGCTCCACTAGCACGGACACAGTAAACTCTATTCAGAGAGCTCTCCATGTATAGAAGATATAGAGAGCTGTTATCCTACCTGCTTAGTCAACCAGACAGCAGGACCAGGTATCTGGTTACTTATAGTCTCTCTGTGTGTGTAGTCACCTGCCTTCAGCGTCTAATCCTACCATGATAATCCTGACTTGCTCTACTGACCGTCAGAAAGAAAAGAGACAGAGTGCTGAGGGGAGACTGGCGTGACATCTCTGAAAGTGAGAATACTGCCTTGTTGACCTTCGTAAAGTCCAGACTCTCTCTAGAAATACCTTATTTAGTCACTCAGTCAACTAGTCAGTCGGTAATTCATTCATTTAATCAGTCAGTCAGCCAGAAAGGCAATGACACTGCTGTGGTTGGAGGTTCAGATATCAGTGGAAAAGGGCTGCAACTAACAATCATTGTTATTATCAATTTCACTGCAGAGTATTTCCTCAATTAATGGAAGTTAACGTTTTCAAAGTGCTTGATTTGTCCAACCAAAACCCAAAAATATTCATTTTGTAATGAGTATAAAGCAGCAAACAGTGTGTGTCCTAGTCATAGGTGCTTTTTGAAGACCTACTTCTACAATAACACAAACTGCACACTGCTGTGGTTAAAATGTTCAATTTGAAGCTCAGAGTAGCAAGACAGGATGAACCACATGCAAAGTGAGAGCTGACAATATTAAAAAGAACATGAACTGGCTCCAACTGCTGAAAATGACTGAAAAGGGGTAAAATACTGCAAAAAGGCCTTCATAAATCCAGTTTTTAAATGATCACAGAACACTTACATGGCTAGCTCTGATTGTTGTCTATGGCGTCCAGCTAAGAAAGCTCATGAGCCTTGGATACAGCCTCAGAAACACTACATGCATT